AGTCCATTTCTACTGTGCATTGTGCCTCTTGCTATGGAACACGCAGTGATTTTCCCTACTCCCATTCCATCAGGTCGTAAATGGCTCTGGTCTTAGCAAAGGTGTCGGGGTTGCCATGGTAACCAGTGGCCTGTGGTCATTCGCAGACATCCTGGCGCCCAGTCTATTGGGTGAGGGGTCTGTGACGACTTGTTAATCTAATGAATAACTGATTTGTTAAATCAAATGAAAAATTGTGTTTTTGATTGGTCCAGACGCTACACTGTTTCACACGGACATACTCAAATGTGTCAGCTGCAAGGTGTTAATGCCATAAAACAGAACTTCTCCTTACCCAAATCTGACAATGTGTCTTGCTCAGCACCTGCAGCAAAGAGGTTCAACCTCTTACTAGTGAAAGGACTCTTCCTTTAAAAAAAAAAAAAACAAGGTTAGTGGAAAAATATTTTGTATTTAAAAAGGACATTTCAGGGACGTTTTTTTTTTTTTTTACCTTCTACGGACTCCATCAAGTTCACTGGTAATGCCTCTGTCTTGAGTATATCCCTTTCCGTCATCGTCAAAACGAATCTGACTGGTAGGTCTGACGTTTGATCTGCCATTCGGCCTCTTTCCGACTTTCATATTGGCAATTATGTGTCTGAAAGTTTTGAGATGATACCACATAATTGTTCTAACACATGTACTAATGTTACACTTTATTTCCACATTTAGACAGGAAGGTCCATATTTGTATTCACTAATAAAACATCACTTTTACAACATGCATTTTTATGCAATTAAAATCACAAAGCAGGTCTCGGACGGTTTTATCCATCGGTTGTTGATTGAACGGTGGCAGATATGAATGCGAGTCGTAGTCGATTGTTATAAAAGGGGTGGGGTTTAAGCAGACTAAATGAATGGAGAAGTCCGGCACACATCAACAGAAGTCTGGCATTTCAATGGAAGATCAAACTTTGACATTCTGATTAAAAATATTAAGCTCAAGTTTATTTTTTAAAATGTAACCTACACATAGATGTATTGTTTAAAATATGTTTAATAAGAAGCGTTTAGGAAATAGATTTCAGTTTCATGCCAACTTTGATACACACAACATCTGAAATGAGCCCTACCCTAAGTCTGCTCTCCTCTGGGTGTCAGGTATGGCTTCATGTTTCCTCAGCTGCTTAAGGAGCTCTGACTCTGCCTGATGTCTGTTCGGCAGGGTGGATGCGGCGGCAGAGACTGCAGCAACCAGCGCTGAACTCAAGGTCCCACTAAAGTACAGAAAGTACAGAAAAATGTTGCTACTTTCACTTCAGAATGGATGCACTGTTTGCTAGTCAGAAATCAAAATTATATCATAATATTCTTAATTCATTAATCTGAATCTTGTGATTTAGCTCTTAGTGTAAACATATATGGAATTGCTGTTATCGTAGGGATTTCAGTGTCAGCATTACCAATTTGTGAATGAATTATGCTTGTATGTATATATAACTCACTGCTGTTGTGAACCCTCAGCTGCGGCACGCTGGAACATGCTGTGTGTGCTTTCCATGGGCTCTTGGTCGGGCCTCTCACTCGTTCTTGGAGTCTTTGAGGGTCTTATTTTACGTACGGTTGTGACCTCCACCTTCATTGCCCCAAGTAGCTCCAAAAGACTCTCCTTCCCACTTTTTGTCTTTTCAAGCTGTTTGCTGTCCTCAGGTTTAACCTCTGGTTCAGTCTCTAACTGTGATGTCAATGTTGCATTTGAAATGTCAGTGCCCTCATTCATTTCTGTGTTCCTCTGCCCATCAGTGTTAACCTCTGCATTCACCTCATTCTCTTCTGGTGTCTTTCCTTTGTCTTCTGACAGGGATGTGGAGCTCTCTTTATTTTCACTAAAAGAGATGCTACTGGTTCCTAATGGCCTTGCTGTACATGGGGCCCTAAAATAAAGAAATTAGATAAAATGATAAAATTAATAATTTAAAACAAAAACATCAGAATTTGGATAATTTATCTGTTAAACATTTTAAAATCAAATTATAGAGCAATAATTAACATACGGGCTGGAAGGTATATTTAGATATTTAATATACATTGCAAACACCTAATCAACACGCAAATGGAACATTCTGCAGGTTAATCAAGTGGTACTTTATTCTGCCATTTGAGATATTTAAATTCCAGATTGAGACTTTTAACTGACACATAAACATAACTCAATCTCATCCGAGCTGTCACCCTGTCAGGTTCTTAGCTCTGTAACTTACCTGGTAACAGGGGCGAAACTCTCCCTCTCTTTACATTTTGTGGAAGGTAAAGTTAATCGTGTATTGTGCGTATGAATGAATCTATTTCGAACCTGATTAATATTTATTAACAATCTTCTGTACATGATTGTCCCTCTCAGAAGACCTCAATGTCGTCCATGCACGTTTCCATGCGCAGCACAATCAACTGTCCGGCTGGCGCCTGAGACGTATAAAAGTTCCGGGCGCTTTTCTGCATCGACTAAAGGGAACTTACTCGTAAAAAGTGACAAATGAGACGTGTTTAAACATTCAGCGATTTTATCAGTTTTAATCTGTCTGTATCATATACATTGCTTTAGGATAATTAAATCGGATTGCAACAGGAAAAGGGAACCGTTCATAAACTTGTCCAGGGGAGGGGTCTGCCGCTACCGCTGTCAAGCTCCATCCCGGCTAGTGATGGGAAGTCCGAGTCTTTTACTCGAATTGGTTCTTCAGAACAGTTCGTCTCTAAGAACTGTTTCAAAAAATGATTCATTTAATCTTTTACGACACGACGTAATTACATCATCACGTGGCCCTTGACATCATGGGCGTGGCATTTTACCTGCTTTACAACGTTTCCATAATGCGTTTTTACGTTTTATTGTTTTATTAATAAGGCGTTCACTGTAATTGGATGTGAGCGTTTATTAAAACCAGCTTTTATTTTGCACCATCAGTCAATTTCATATACTTCAGCTCAATCATTGAATCTTGATTCATAACGAATCTGAATTCGTAACTGTATAACTTAGCATACTACTGTTACTATGTTTGCCATGGAAAGACGCCCTGCGTCTCAATGTTCATACTATCCATCCTAAATAGTATGTGAGATTAGAATAAGTGTGTCCCAAAGCATAGTATGTTGAAAAGAGTATGCCGAAAGTCCCCGGATGGTCTACGATTTCAGGTCGATTTTTGAAGTGTGGATCCGTGCACACTCAAATGGCTAATATTGCCCACAATCCATTGCGCTTTCTATCCAGAACTACAAACACTAATAAAACGCGTTAAAACTACAAACATGGCGGATGTGCGCGACCGGCAGGTAGAGAGGCTTAGAAAAATGGGTTTGAGTTACTAATATTCAACATTTAACCTGGTAAAAAATATTTATTTAATGTTATCTGTGTTATATTTCATCTGCAAAAGCAATGTAAACTTTTATAAACATCCGTTTGGTCGTTAACTTTTAAATGCATCATTATGCATAAAATATGAGCAGAGTTCTGGGCATGAAAGACCCGCGACTGGCAGATCACTGTGCTACTTCTTTTCTCTCCAATACGGTAGGAAGTTAAATGAAATGCAATGTGGAGGATGTTAACTGTGACAAGATGATTGACAGGCCAGTTTACAGTGACAGGGTGCCTGTATCTATGCGACAGAGCATCCGTTAAAGACAGTTGTGTGAAGTGATAGTATGTCCCAAAGCTTGCCTACTCTTCTACTACACATTCAAAAGTGTGTACTTTTTCTTCACCAAAAAAGTACATACCTTAAGGGCGTAGTGTAAGTAGGCACATTGGGACACAGCATTAGCAATGAATGACAGAGAGATCCGGGCTTATATAGGTGAGCTAACAATGCTAATGAGACACAGGTGCAAAAAATGAGTGCTGATGAGACCGAGAGGATTCTAGAGGATTATGGGGAATGAAGTCCTTGATAGAGTGGCAGAAGTCTGGGATGGAGTGCCCTCTGGTGGCCATCAAGGGCACTCCAGCTGGTGATTATGATAATAGTAAGCAAATCCAAACAAACAAAAAAACTAGCTATCCATTGCTCATCATCTTATTTTTGTGGGCCTTACATATGCCTCCTACTCCACTTCATTGCTCATGGGCTCCTACGCTGAGCATCCAGTAGATATTAAATAATTATGTGCTTAAATAACTGATGAGGCCGCTGTCTAAGGGAGTTCAGTGGTATTCCATTTTCACAAGACATTTATTTTATATAACTTGCAGGTCACACATTCTGTTGAGCATTTTTACACTACCTTTTGCCATAGTGAGATCATTTTTACATGAAAACATATAATAGCCAGTTAGCAAACAAGCCTAGCTGCATTATGCATGATCATAAATGAATCCAGTCGTCCAACTATAGATGTAAATGTGAAAAGAAAAGTTTGACTAATGGTTAAAATGCAGAGTTGCTACTAGTAATAGGGTCTCTTCGGCCTAATAAATATACAAAACTATTATGACTCTTTGTGTGGAAGCATGGTAATTTGCATATGGAACTTGAATCGAAATTACTAAAGATTCTCAGGACACTAATATATTGCCTATGTACCAACATATAATATACACTCTCGTTTAGATCATCAGAAGACTAATTCATAGATACTAAACATGGTAGGGTTACATATATGTAGGATGACAGGAATGAGTGTTTCCATCACAAGCCTGCATAAAACAGTATAAAATCTCAAAGACAACATACACGATGACCTGAAGGCTATGTGTGTTCATTCAAAGAAAGGTTTTCCTATGGATTAATTAGTAGAAAAGTCCATTTCTACTGTGCATTGTGCCTCTTGCTATGGAACACGCAGTGATTTTCCCTACTCCCATTCCATCAGGTCGTAAATGGCTCTGGTCTTAGCAAAGGTGTCGGGGTTGCCATGGTAACCAGTGGCCTGTGGTCATTCGCAGACATCCTGGCGCCCAGTCTATTGGGTGAGGGGTCTGTGACGACTTGTTAATCTAATGAATAACTGATTTGTTAAATCAAATGAAAAATTGTGTTTTTGATTGGTCCAGACGCTACACTGTTTCACACGGACATACTCAAATGTGTCAGCTGCAAGGTGTTAATGCCATAAAACAGAACTTCTCCTTACCCAAATCTGACAATGTGTCTTGCTCAGCACCTGCAGCAAAGAGGTTCAACCTCTTACTAGTGAAAGGACTCTTCCTTTAAAAAAAAAAAAAACAAGGTTAGTGGAAAAATATTTTGTATTTAAAAAGGACATTTCAGGGACGTTTTTTTTTTTTTTTACCTTCTACGGACTCCATCAAGTTCACTGGTAATGCCTCTGTCTTGAGTATATCCCTTTCCGTCATCGTCAAAACGAATCTGACTGGTAGGTCTGACGTTTGATCTGCCATTCGGCCTCTTTCCGACTTTCATATTGGCAATTATGTGTCTGAAAGTTTTGAGATGATACCACATAATTGTTCTAACACATGTACTAATGTTACACTTTATTTCCACATTTAGACAGGAAGGTCCATATTTGTATTCACTAATAAAACATCACTTTTACAACATGCATTTTTATGCAATTAAAATCACAAAGCAGGTCTCGGACGGTTTTATCCATCGGTTGTTGATTGAACGGTGGCAGATATGAATGCGAGTCGTAGTCGATTGTTATAAAAGGGGTGGGGTTTAAGCAGACTAAATGAATGGAGAAGTCCGGCACACATCAACAGAAGTCTGGCATTTCAATGGAAGATCAAACTTTGACATTCTGATTAAAAATATTAAGCTCAAGTTTATTTTTTAAAATGTAACCTACACATAGATGTATTGTTTAAAATATGTTTAATAAGAAGCGTTTAGGAAATAGATTTCAGTTTCATGCCAACTTTGATACACACAACATCTGAAATGAGCCCTACCCTAAGTCTGCTCTCCTCTGGGTGTCAGGTATGGCTTCATGTTTCCTCAGCTGCTTAAGGAGCTCTGACTCTGCCTGATGTCTGTTCGGCAGGGTGGATGCGGCGGCAGAGACTGCAGCAACCAGCGCTGAACTCAAGGTCCCACTAAAGTACAGAAAGTACAGAAAAATGTTGCTACTTTCACTTCAGAATGGATGCACTGTTTGCTAGTCAGAAATCAAAATTATATCATAATATTCTTAATTCATTAATCTGAATCTTGTGATTTAGCTCTTAGTGTAAACATATATGGAATTGCTGTTATCGTAGGGATTTCAGTGTCAGCATTACCAATTTGTGAATGAATTATGCTTGTATGTATATATAACTCACTGCTGTTGTGAACCCTCAGCTGCGGCACGCTGGAACATGCTGTGTGTGCTTTCCATGGGCTCTTGGTCGGGCCTCTCACTCGTTCTTGGAGTCTTTGAGGGTCTTATTTTACGTACGGTTGTGACCTCCACCTTCATTGCCCCAAGTAGCTCCAAAAGACTCTCCTTCCCACTTTTTGTCTTTTCAAGCTGTTTGCTGTCCTCAGGTTTAACCTCTGGTTCAGTCTCTAACTGTGATGTCAATGTTGCATTTGAAATGTCAGTGCCCTCATTCATTTCTGTGTTCCTCTGCCCATCAGTGTTAACCTCTGCATTCACCTCATTCTCTTCTGGTGTCTTTCCTTTGTCTTCTGACAGGGATGTGGAGCTCTCTTTATTTTCACTAAAAGAGATGCTACTGGTTCCTAATGGCCTTGCTGTACATGGGGCCCTAAAATAAAGAAATTAGATAAAATGATAAAATTAATAATTTAAAACAAAAACATCAGAATTTGGATAATTTATCTGTTAAACATTTTAAAATCAAATTATAGAGCAATAATTAACATACGGGCTGGAAGGTATATTTAGATATTTAATATACATTGCAAACACCTAATCAACACGCAAATGGAACATTCTGCAGGTTAATCAAGTGGTACTTTATTCTGCCATTTGAGATATTTAAATTCCAGATTGAGACTTTTAACTGACACATAAACATAACTCAATCTCATCCGAGCTGTCACCCTGTCAGGTTCTTAGCTCTGTAACTTACCTGGTAACAGGGGCGAAACTCTCCCTCTCTTTACATTTTGTGGAAGGTAAAGTTAATCGTGTATTGTGCGTATGAATGAATCTATTTCGAACCTGATTAATATTTATTAACAATCTTCTGTACATGATTGTCCCTCTCAGAAGACCTCAATGTCGTCCATGCACGTTTCCATGCGCAGCACAATCAACTGTCCGGCTGGCGCCTGAGACGTATAAAAGTTCCGGGCGCTTTTCTGCATCGACTAAAGGGAACTTACTCGTAAAAAGTGACAAATGAGACGTGTTTAAACATTCAGCGATTTTATCAGTTTTAATCTGTCTGTATCATATACATTGCTTTAGGATAATTAAATCGGATTGCAACAGGAAAAGGGAACCGTTCATAAACTTGTCCAGGGGAGGGGTCTGCCGCTACCGCTGTCAAGCTCCATCCCGGCTAGTGATGGGAAGTCCGAGTCTTTTACTCGAATTGGTTCTTCAGAACAGTTCGTCTCTAAGAACTGTTTCAAAAAATGATTCATTTAATCTTTTACGACACGACGTAATTACATCATCACGTGGCCCTTGACATCATGGGCGTGGCATTTTACCTGCTTTACAACGTTTCCATAATGCGTTTTTACGTTTTATTGTTTTATTAATAAGGCGTTCACTGTAATTGGATGTGAGCAAAACCAGAAACCAGCTTTTATTTTGCACCATCAGTCAATTTCATATACTTCAGCTCAATCATTGAATCATAACGAATAACGAATCTGAATTCGTAACTGTATAACTTAGCATACTACTGTTACTATGTTTGCCATGGAGTCCCAATGTTCATACTCTCCATCCTAAATAGTATGTGAGATTAGAATAAGTGTGTCCCAAAGCATAGTATGTTGAAAAGAGTATGCCAAAAGTCCCCGGATGGTCTACGATTTCAGGTCGATTTTTGAAGTGTGGATCCGTGCACACTCAAATGGCTAATATTGCCCACAATCCATTGCGCTTTCTATCCAGAACTACAAACACTAATAAAACGCGTTAAAACTACAAACATGGCGGATGTGCGCGACCGGCAGGTAGAGAGGCTTAGAAAAATGGGTTTGAGTTACTAATATTCAACATTTAACCTGGTAAAAAATATTTATTTAATGTTATCTGTGTTATATTTCATCTGCAAAAGCAATGTAAACTTTTATAAACATCCGTTTGGTCGTTAACTTTTAAATGCATCATTATGCATAAAATATGAGCAGAGTTCTGGGCATGAAAGACCCGCGACTGGCAGATCACTGTGCTACTTCTTTTCTCTCCAATACGGTAGGAAGTTAAATGAAATGCAATGTGGAGGATGTTAACTGTGACAAGATGATTGACAGGCCAGTTTACAGTGACAGGGTGCCTGTATCTATGCGACAGAGCATCCGTTAAAGACAGTTGTGTGAAGTGATAGTATGTCCCAAAGCTTGCCTACTCTTCTACTACACATTCAAAAGTGTGTACTTTTTCTTCACCAAAAGAGTACATACTTTAAGGGCGTAGTATAAGTAGGCACATTGAGACGCAGCAGGGGTAAAAGCAGTAAGAGCACTATGCTAGTATACACAGGGCCGTCCTTAGGGGGGTGCAACTGGTGCGGTCGCACCGGGCCCCGCGCTTGAGGGGGCCCCGCGGCGAACATTAGCTTCATCCACGGTTCATCGAGAACTGATCGGACTGATTCAGGTAATTTCGTGACCGAATCGTTTGGGAATTGTTCAAGCGATTCATTGAAATGATCCGACTCATTTGAACGATTTGTTCACGAACCAGACATCGCTACATCTCGAACGGGGCTTAACATACGGATCCCTTTCGAGAGGTCATGACTCGTCTGTTCGCAAATGTTGCAGTTCAGTAAGGGTCCAGAGTGAACCAAACAATCTCGCTACATATTTTCGTTGTAAGCGTTTTCGTGAAAAAAAGGTAGGCATGCTTGGTGAATGCTTATTGAGAAATCTACATTGTCACAGTTACTTTTTAGATGTTCAGTCTCGCTATTCAGTGTTCAGTTCAGGTGATGCAAAAACACGCCTGTCTGTAACCAGCAGTTTTTGGTGCTACTTTATTTTGCATCACATAAAAGACAACCACATAATGGCAAAAACAATTGTTGCCTCAGAAAGGCGTTTCCACCGAAAATAATCGCTGTGGTTGAAGAGCATGGCTTTGTGTGAGTTTTTCAAAACAACATAGTCTGTGGCTTGTGACTTTCTCCGGTCGGCGAACTTTGTTACTACATGAAACTTGAGATTCAGCTCCATGCTGTCTGCTTATGTAACTTTACACAGTTATGTACAACGTATTAGTTATACTTCAGACGTTATAGTTATACTTCAATACTTCAAATTCTGAGTGTTAAGGACCGTCTGTGTTTTGGTAAGCATGATTTTTTTGTAAGTTTGGGATTACGTAGGGGTTTACTTTCTAAAAAAACGAAATAAACTTACAATGATGAACTAAAAGTTTTAAGTATACTGATTTTCTTTTCTCTGTCTCATCTTTTGCACAGATCTTTGATTTAGGATTTTGTTGGAGCGCTTGGCATATTTCACCATGGCACCACATCCTGTGGTTCAGGCAATAATAGACCTCTCTGCAGGGGCTATAGGTAACTTCACCTAACATCAGGGCCATTCTGGGGGACAGTCGGGAACATTATCCTGGGCCCTATGATGATAGAGTGGGATACGCTTTATTTCAGCACCATCTGTATTAAATCCTTTCTTTTGTCAGTTCTTATCTGACCTTTGAGCGGTGTGTTTTTGCTTACCCCTGTAGTTTCACAGTCCGGACCTATTGTCTCAGCAGTCCCTACACCACACACACACACACACACACACACACACACACTGACCTGTTCTGTCTGGCTTAGATCATACTGATAGATGGGTGAGGACGTTTGTAGTGTGTGATAATGTTTGTGGATTAGTTGTAGATCATTGCTTCATAACCCTTAAAACACATTTTTATTGGAACTTTATTTTATTGTTATTTCAAACCATATCCAAGTTATTATACCAAAATACAAGCCAATTAAAGTTTGTAACAAAAGAAAGGGCAACACACAGACAAATTTATGTGTATAATGATGATTGAAGGGAATGATTTCACTCCTACATTCCATTTGTTTCATTAACAAGAGAAAAAGCTCATCGCTCTCTGTTCTCCCACTTCTCTTTCCTCTTTAGGGGGCACAGCTTGTGTACTTAGTGGTCAACCTTTGGACACGGCTAAGGTGAAAATGCAGACATTCCCCACTTTATACAGAGGCTTTGTGCACTGCTTTGTGTCTACATACAGACAGGTGGGCCTTCGAGGGCTGTATCAAGGTACCACACCGGCCCTCATGGCCAACATTGCGGAGAACTCTGTGCTCTTCATGTGCTATGGCTTTTGCCAAGAGGTGGTTTGCTTCATCTCTAGTCAGGAGAAAGGGGCTGTGCTCAGGCAAGTTCAGTTTGTATTATGAATAGTACATTTACATTTATGCATTTTGGCAGGTGGTTTTATTCAAAGCGACTTACATTGCATGAAAGGTATACAATTTATGCATTCATGCATTCCCTGGAAATCAAAGCCATGACCTTGGAGTTGCTAGCACCATGCTCTACTGTTTGAATAGTATCTAGTATTTTCTGGAAGCTCCAAAACAAATGCATGACAGAAGGGTTTTGCTTCTAAAGTAGCCTTATTTATTTAGTTTTTTTTCTTGAATTGAAATTAAATAATTCTCTGCAGATAAAGTTATTCCATTAGGATGTACATGTTCACATGATTATTTTTCCAAAATTACTTCGGATATTATTTTAAATGCATTTATTTGATTATTATACAGTAAAACCAGAAATAATGTGAAATATTATTACAATTTAAAAGAACTCTTTTCTATTTGAATATATTTTAAAGTGTAATTTATTCCTGTGATGGCAAAGCTGAATTTTCAGAAACCATTACTCCAGTCTTCAGTGTCACATCATCTTTCAGAAATCATTCTAATATGCTGATTTGGTGCTCAAGAAACATTTCTATTATTATCAATGTTGAAAAAGTTGTGTAGCTTAATATTTTTGTGGAAACTGCGATACATTTTGAAAGTGAATGAATAGAAAGTTCAAAAGAACAGCATTTATTTTTAAAATATTTTGTAACATTATAAATCACTTTTTTTATCACTTTTAATAACTTTGTGTATTTGTTGATTTGATCTGTATTAATTTGTATCCTTGTATTAATTTCTTTAAAAAAAGTCTTACCATAAACTTTTGGCACAGTAATGTATATACATATCATTATCACAATTTCATTCATTTTTGCTTATATTAACGCTTATTTTCCATGTGTGTGATTGTTTACTTCGGTTCAGTGACATGCAGAAAGCGTGCGCAGGCTCCGTGGCCTCAGTTTTCTCCTCTCTGGTCTTATGTCCCACTGAGCTGGTGAAGTGCCGACTGCAGGCTATGCATGAGATGGCCACATCTGGCAAGATCGCCCACAGTCAGAAGTAAAGATTGAGCCATCCTTTCTGTGGATACTGCGCACATATTTTTATTTACTTTTAAGTGCTAGTGTTACTCATGATATGATTTACCTCCTTTCTCCTTATGTATGTCTGTGTTTTTCAGCACAGTTTGGTCGGTGATCAAGTCCATTATGCATAATGATGGTCCTGCAGGGTTCTTCCAGGGTTTAACCACTACAATTGCCCGTGAGGTGCCTGGATATTTCTGTTTCTTTGGAGCATATGAGCTCTGTCGCTCTCTCTTTGCTGAGTACATGCACTGTGGCAAGGATGACGTAGGTCTGCAAACAGTTACGGTTTCTACACGTTATCTTTAAAATGACTAAATGATAACGGCATACTTTTGTTTCTCATTTATTGATTGTTCTGGTATTTTCTGGTGTGTTTTTATTGAAATGGCGTACCTGAGTCAGTCATTAGGAGGACAAGGACAAACATTAAAGGGTTAGTTCAGTCAAAAATGAAAATTAGGCTGCGTTTCAGTTCACCCCCCGGAGCCGTGTGAGACACTTTTTTTTGTGGAAGGGTGCTTTTTATTTCACGTCATTTGAACCGAAGCACTGCAACACCCGCTGAGTACAACGATAGAGCTTGAAAGATCAAAGACAATTTTTAATATAACTCCGACTGGATTCGTCTGAAAGAAGAAAGTCATATACACCTAGAATGACTTGAGGGTGAGTAATTTATGGGCTAATTTCCCTTTTTGGGTGAACTAACCCTTTAAAATCAGTCAGTAATCAATTAACTCTTTGTTTTAAATATAGCTGGTCATTCAGTTTACTCAGTCGATAACGATAGAGATAGTATAAGGAGAAAGACACATACCTCTTGTAGGCTGTAGAAGTCCCTTCTTTCAGGTAAAAAGTCAAGATTTTACCCATCAGAAAATTTTATTTAGTACTAATTTAGCACTTTTATTCTGTAACGATGCATTAAATTGATCAGATGTGACAGTAAGGGCCTTTATATTACAAAAAATGTATTTCCAATAAATGCTCTACTTTTGAACTTTCTATTCATCAAAGTTTTCATCAGCTTTTCCAGGAATAAATGATATTTTAAAATATATTAAAATAGAAAACATATAGAATATTTGTTAACAGCTGTAATAATATTTCATAATATTACCGCTTACTCAATTTTTGATCTTATAAATGCAGCCTTGGTCAGCATAAGAGACTAAATTGTTCAAAATGTTTTCAAAATCTTCAAAAATCTTACCGACCTCAAACTTTTGAATGGTAGTGTAGATTCTGTATTTGTTTGAGTTTTTTTCTAGTAGTACTCCGGTCTCCTGTTTGCATTTTTTTTTGTCTTATGTTTGTAAAGTGCTTGCTGTATATTCTCACATATGTGATGTCCAGGTTCATTAAAGTCAGCTCTGAAGAGTTTGTGTTGTCTGTCTTTTGTAGGTGTAGCCCCTATTGTGTTCAGTGGTGGTTTGGGGGGAGCTTGTCTCTGGCTTGTGGTTTACCCCATGGACTGTGCTAAATCTAGGATACAGGTCATGTCAATGACAGGCAAGCAGTCAGGCTTCTTCAAGACTTTCATGCATATCTTCAGAACAGAAGGTATGTGAAAGATCAGTTTTTCTCTGCTAAACAGTATTATGTATAAAATCACAGCTGTTTACATTTTTAATTTTAAACATGAAGCCCCCATTTGGTTCTGTTTTTCTCTCATTTTCAGGTGTAAGGGCTCTATATTCTGGTCTGACTCCCACAATGATCCGCACATTTCCGGCCAACGGTGCTCTGTTCTTAGGTTATGAAGCCAGCCGCAAATTCATGATGGCACAGTTTGACAGCTAACCCCGTAACAGCACGTGTTATTTTCTCCAGTTGGTTTTTTAGCATTTTTAAACAAACTACTTCTAATTCACCATGGCCATTCTATAGTATTTCATTCTACATGCTATGGTTTGCACACACTAATGAACATTTTTATAATGATGCTTTGTTTTATTTATACACGTTAACACTTTACAGTAAGGTTATACTTGTTTAGTTAATGCATTAGGTATTGTGAACTATCAGTGAACAATGGTTCTTAAAGCATTTATTAATCTAGGTTAATGTACAAATATACTATTGTTTATTCATTAATTCATTTGTTCATAATACATTAATGTAAATGCATACAACATAAAATAAAATAAAAAAATATTAATAGCATATGTAAACATTTACAGCATAATGTTAACAAATTTAACTTTACTGTAAAGTGTTACCATTATTTTTTATTATAGTTAGGGTGTTTTTATGTAGCTAAACCTTGGCCCGAGGGTCTAGAAATGTACATGCATATATCATATTTCAAATGATGTACTGAGGTCAGCAGTACAGTATGGCAGTATTATAATTTGTGGCATATCATCATAGCATTTGAAATGTACTGACTGTAAATATTCTATTTGATTCACTTCTGAAAGTGTCCCATTTATATAGTTGAAGAACAACAATTCTCTACAAAACTGAATAACTTTGTAAAACCAGGATTGTATTTTTTTTTTTAAACTGCATATTTGATTTATTTTAGTGTCGTTAAAGTGATTTGAATTAACTTGATACTAAATCATAGATTTCTGTGGAGAAATAATTGTGTATCATTAAATGTGAATTAAAGTCTGACAAAAGACATGTAAACCACACTGTGTAACAGTTTGGATTTTATTTATATTTTAGTATTTTTATTTAATTTCTAAGCTATAAAAACAGATACAAAACAAGTGTTATGCCATTAATTAAAGCCATTTTCCTTTAAAATATTATTCACACTTTAAGTCATTATACATAAGCCATTACTAAAAAAGACTGTATTAAGCCAAAACGTAACCAATAAACATCCATAGGTGACAAGAAGATTAAGTGTACACAAAAAAAGTACAAATAAACCTTCATTAAAATGTTCAGATAGCATCTTCCACAAGAGGGCGCTGGTTAAGGACGCTGGATGGTAGAGATGAGGGATATGACCTCCCTGGCACCTGGAGCAGTCAGGGTTTACAGCGGCTACAAAATAACAATCAGTTTTAAATTTCAATTTCATCAGTTTTAAAGAGAATTTCTACTATTGATCATTTTGCCTGGAAGGAGGCTCTTACTCTTTACTATTTTCTTTTTTTTTCTCATTATTGAGGCGTAAGAATCTACTGCCAGTAGGCCTACATTGAATTAAAAATTCCAAAAACAATATATATATATATATATATATATGTAGGAGACATGCAATTGTCCTATAATAATAGTACTGTTTAAGTGTGAAAATTCAATTATATACTCTTAATATTGAATTCAATTAAAGATGAGAGTTCTGGCATTAACAGAAATTAAAATGAATAAAGTATTAAAATTCCTGCAAAAATACTGAAAAGGCGTCTTTCTGTAATATTTAATTCTGATTGGTCAATCTCAATATTCAGCGCCTGATATGTAAGGGATAATCAAAGGCTAGTCGTGCATTAAAGGATTTTAAATGCACGACGCGAAGCGGTTATTTGCCAAGTTATAGACAAGTAAAAACTAGTATTGCTCTTTGCAGCACAATATTTGACCAAATGGGTAAAAATTAGTTATTTTCGTCAGTTTACAGTCTATAGTTACGGCACGTTAGCGCTAGCATTCTGCCAGCTTCAAATCATACACAGAGATGAAATAGTGCGGTAAGACCACATTTATTTGAATAAATTATAGCATGTATTTCAATTAATTATAGATCGATAGAGAGATGACAGTTGTGTGTACCTGTTTGCTGCGTCTGCGCGTCTCTCTCTACAAACAATTACTTCAAAAACAGCGATTTTATCCCCTCGTTGCTGGGGAATATAATGTAGCGGTCTAGTATCTAGGCTATTTTATTCATGAAAATCACGGGGAAGCGTTGACAACAAGTTTGTGTGTGTGTGCAGCGCAATCATTGATCTCT